CTTACAATCTAAAAGAGGAGGGGGAAGTGATACATGAGGAGGTAGCTGTGTGGGGATGAATTGTTTGAGAACGTGATGGCTCAGTGGTTAAATTGAGGTGGGATAGTAATAGTTTATTTACGTTAAGTTGGGTATTCTGTATACTTTGCTGTACCTAATTGTGTCATGTATGGTGATGGTTGGGGCCAGAAACGGTGAGTGGTGCAGATTCAGGAATTGAAGTCCATGGTGGGAAAGCATAGGCAGGTTAAAAAAAAAAAAAAATACCTTTCCTATGAATAACTTTCTGGACCTGATACCAGAAGGGTTCTCCATAGATTTAGTCAGAAAAGTATTTGTTTTTGTGCAGTGATAGCTATTTTAGTGTACTTTTATTCATTTAATTGTGTATTTTTATCCGTTTAATATTGATTTGATAAACATTTGCGCAATTATTGCAGAACCTACAAAATTAGTATCGCCATCCTTTTTTTTTTTTTTTTTCCTCTACCAGGCCTGTGCTTTCAGAAAATATATGGTTTGGGGTGTCTTTTACAAACGCTAGCAACGCAGCAATAGAAAATCAAAACAATTGGAAAAATTGCAAAAATGGTGTAGCCAGCTGAGGTTAGAAAGGGTTTTTCCAAGGGCTTGGCAGCAAAAAGGTTAAAGGGTATCTGTTGTCAAGTCTTGACAAATGGAGATTGCATCACCAAGCAGGTCCTTGGTTGCTAGGGACATCACATCAAGTTATAAGGCCGGTGTGAATGGGACTATGTGCTGTGGGATTTTTTGGGAGTAAAGTAAGGAAAAGCTGTCATTGAAGATGGACAGACACTGGCTGGCAGAAGGGACCCTGGCAAAACCCGGTTACCTGGACAGCGGTGATGGGAAATGAAGAGCAGTCATTTGTTATAGAGGTGATTTGCTGTGTCCTATTTGGTCCTCTATGAGGTGCTTTTAAACTTCATGTCTGTATGGATGTACCATTCCTACTGTGAAATACCTTTTTTAAAGTTAGGTACCTTTCCCTAACTACAAGATAACTTATTATTTCACAAAACACTTAAGATGAAATGACAACCCAAATCACGCTAATTGTCTGCTTCTATTGTTCAAGGTTAAACACTGCTGGAATTCCTTGTCCGGAGCCAATTTTGCTAAAGAGTCACGTCCTCTTGATGGAGTTTATTGGAAAAAATGAGATGTGAGTGACTTTCAAAATTCCATTTCAAAGTGAACTTTAAGAGGATTAGGTTCCCAATCTATTTTTAGCATGTAGAACTATTTCTCATAGCAGTCCATATTTTTTAACCCGTGTTTATCAGGGTGCCTGCAAATATGTTTTTTTTTTTTTTTTTAAGTACAGACAGTCCACTGTTCCACTTCCCTGGCCTCCTCCTGCCATGAATCACTCCACAGGTGCAGACAAAACCTGCTCGCCTCTGCCGTACATTATGATCCTTCTCCAAAACTAGCCGCTCTTCCGTGGATCACCATGAATTAAACTATATTTTATTGTAATGACAAATAATTACTAGTTTGGCTTAGTCATAGAGGCGACTCTGACTAAGTGCAGAAGTGCGGTTTGTTTTTTGAGAAGGATGCCTGCAAATATATGTTGCCCTGTAGCAATTGATCTCTATTAGACTTGCTGTTGGAAATTAAAGTTTATTTATTAGGGGCAGCTCGGACAGCTCTTATTTCAGACACACGTGTGATCCATTCTGTTTTCTTTTAGGTTTCTCTTATATTTAAATGTAGTTCTTTGGTATTTAAATGTCATCTGTTCTGGGAAATCTTTTGCTTCCTTTTTTAAGGCCGGCTCCCTTGCTGAAAAATGCCCAGTTATCGGATTCCAAAGCACGAGAGATTTACTTAGACGTCATTCAGTATATGAGAAGGATGTACCAGGATGCCAGGCTTGTGCATGCAGATCTCAGTGAATTTAACATGCTGTAAGTAACTTGCATGGCCACATTCCAGTTGTGATTTAGGGTGAAAGAAATTAATTGTGTAGCATAAACTATCTAAACCCATCCTTACAGTATTCAGTTTCACAAAAGAAATTGAAAAGATAACTTTTCCATTTATGTATGATTGTTTTGACTGTGAAGTATTCTTATATAAAGGAATAGTCTGATGTTTAGTTTACGGTGCCAAGCAAGCAGATTCATACTTCTGTGTACTGAAAACTCAGTACATACTCTTTACCTAATCACTAATGTGCACCTATGACCCTGAGAGCCAATGCTGTTGTCACTGAATTGAAAGCTTAATCGTTTCATTAAAGGAGAACAATGGGGGTGAGTGAATTAAACTCATCCCCATAGCTAGAGCCGACGTGTGACTGTCGGTCACTGCACCCTACAGGCTATCCCCTCCAATCCTCCAGCGCTGACTGGAGGGATGGATGAGGAAGGGGTGGGCATAGCTGGCTCTTCCTCTAGATAGGCAGAGCCCGCTGTCAATGAGCCAGCTGTGTGGATCTCGACAGTATTGTCTGGATTTCTCTCAACTGTGGCACTCTCAGCATATAGTGGGAAATAGCCTGCTATATGCTGAGTTTTGTTGTTTGTTGTTTTGTTGAGGATGTTACTAGATGTCGTCCTGTGACCCTAAGGAGAACTATGGGGAAAAAATGTTACCCCAATAGTTCTCATTAATGTGGGCAATAGCCCACTATATACTGAGTTTTGGGTCATGGGAGGAGGTTAGTATGTGTCCTCACATGACCCTAAAGAGAACTATGGGGGAATAAAGGTTACCCCAATAGTTCTTTTAATGTGGGCAGAATCGGTCTGAAAGGTCTTATAGCATGCTTAGAAAACTAAGCGCATGCTTACATTCCCAGGGCCATGTACCAACCCTTCTGATATGACTTGGAGGTGTTTGGCAGGACAGTACTTTGCCATGTCAAAGAAGAATGTTTTGTTAAGTTGTTAGTCCTAGTGTTATCTGCAGTGGGTGCAGACTTACCGGCAGTGGTCCTTATGTTTCCCAGCTGATGATTTCATCAGCCCTCTAATAAGTTCAATGTATACAGCAGTTATACGGTAAAAGGATATGCACTATGCTCTTCTCTTTAGTTGTACAGTTATTGAGAAATTATTTCCTTATACAATACTAATTGCTTTATGTAAGAAATAAACTTTGGGGTCTACTTATAAACCATTTGCAAAGCTATTTGACTGGCAAATCTCTGTAAAAGTTCGTTCTGTGCAAATAGAGGCAAAAATTAACATTCTTAGTATATTTTCTCCTCAGGTCGATTGTAATGTAATACCACATTATGGCCACTAGATGGAGCTGAGAAGCACAGGGCACACATAGGGTACCTATTTCTTATGGTTCTGCAAATGGTTAATAAACAGACCCAGCAGGAACTTAGCCAGATGGAACTTTCTAATGTCATACTTTTGTTTTAGATTTAAAATAAGATATTGTAAAGTGTATTTAGATAAACTAATTACATGGTTTATTTTTCTCCCCCACTAAAAAAAGCTATAATAATGGCCAGGTTTATATAATTGATGTATCCCAGTCTGTGGAACATGATCACCCACATGCTTTGGAATTTCTTCGCAAGGACTGTGCCAATATAAATGGTGAGTTTTCAGCTTTTATTCATGTTCTGATTTAACCCATTTGTTTGAAGTCCAGTTCTCTTTATTTAAAGGTCCCTTACATTTAAATGTAGAGATGAATACAGTGAGTGCAGTCCATCTCACTTGTCACTTTACAAATACATCCACTGCAGACTCTTTTCTGTCTCCTGCCAAAAGAAAGCCTGATGTAAAAAAAAAAAGGTCACAGCCAGGAGGGTTTCTCGCATCCATCAATCTGACGTAAATTTGTGTTATAAATCTGAATGTGATTGAAAACAAACAGATGAAATAACACAGAACATATTTCGGAAATTACACTCCACACTTATTGGATTACAGAGAACTCAGATTAAAGAAACCCGATTGCAGACAATTCATTTCAACAATCTTCTCATAGGATAATATTGTATTAAATGTATTTTAGTTATGTAATTACCTGTAAAAACCTCTCTTGTTTAGACATCCGAAAGCCTTGGGATTTTTGCTGGGCCCGCCATCTTGGCTGTGCCGTCAGCAGACTGGGTTGTCACTCAAGTGACACTCTGTAGTATCCCCCCCCCCCTTTTGCTTCTTCCATTGCTCCACATAAAAGATTATATAGGGAGGTGAGGGTAGAGCAGCTCGGACAGCACAGACAGTAATTAAACACTTCTAGTAAGTCATGGTCTATGACGTGCAAGGAAGGAGGGGCTGTGCTAGGAAATTGACTCTTCTGAAGTCGTTAGGTTTGCTAGTTCAGATGCACATTACAAGTGAAAAAAACGCAGCAAGTAACATTTATAATACTTGATTTTTCAGTTTGTTTTTTTTACCTGCAATTGTTTAAGTTGGTGACAGGGTCTTTTTAAGGTAAAATGAGGGACCTTTCTGGCTTTAGCAAAACTGCAGTGCCTGCTGGAAAGCATTAGCAGATTACTGATTGGATTATTCTGTTGACTGGATACCTGTAGTCTCTACTTACTCCCCCAGAAAAGTGAGAACAATTTATGCATGTCTTGGGGGATCTATAAGGTAAATAAGCCAGAGGGTCAGCACAACAGACCGGGATCTTGCAGTTCCTGAAGCAGTTTAGCAGGTGCATTTAGCTGCACCAAAAATGCACACGTGTTAATGGGTTCTCTGAGCACTGAAGAAATGGCACACAGGCAACTAGCATTTTCAAAAAAGTTCATCACTCAGCAGCCTCTGTGTTGCTTTTATGACAGATTTCCTTAAACTAGGGATGCACCGATATTTCGGCCCCGAAACATATAGGCCGATAATGGCACTTTTGGCAAAATGCAATTTTTTGCCCGAAATAGCGGTACATCCGTGCGTTCTGTCCTCCCGTTGGGCGCTGCTCTGTGTCCCAATGGAGAGGAGAGAAACTGTCACAGGATGCCTAGCGGTGCAGGAGGAGAGCGGTGTGAGCGGACGGTGTCTCTCCTCCCACACTGCTCAGCCCCCTGTGACAGATCAGGAGAGCGGTGTGTGGGCGGAGAGAGCTGTCAAAGGAAGCCGGCGGGGAGGAGTCAGCTGTCAGATCTAGATCTCCTCCCCGCACCGCTCGCTCAGCCTCCTGTGACAGCGAGTCAGGATGGAGAGCGGTACAAATACTCAGTGATCAGGATTGACGACTTTGTGTCCTCAATCTCTTTTTCTATTTTAAAAAGGAAATATCAGGGGGCTGTTTAGATCCCTAATATTTCCCCGAAGCCCCTACAAATAAAGGAAAAAAATAGAGATCTTAAATAAAAATAAAATATAAAAAAGAAATTAAAAGTTAGAAAAAAAACTTTCGGTTTTGGCCTGACATTTCTTTTTCCATTTTGGTTTCGTTTCAGTTTTGAAACTTTCATTTCGGTGCACCTCTACCTCAAATACCACGTCTAACCAAGAGTGCACTTATTTCATTATTATTATACAGGATTTATATAGCGCCAACAGTTTGCGCAGCGCTTTACAATATGGGGCAGACATTACAATCACAATACAATTCAAGACAAGATGGTAAGGAGGGCCCTGTCCCTGAGAGCTTACAATCTAAATATATATATATATAAACACTGATGTCTGTAGTACGGAGTTTGGGTGAAAATGTAGATGCACAGCATGTTTTTACTGGAGGAAAGTATAGGTGGCTTTCCATGATGCAGACCAGAATAATCGACTATAATATGCTATGCTTTCTACTGGTTTATGGTTTTTTAGGAAAGTATCCACGCTTAACAGGGAATGGAATTATCAAAACTGGAGCAGACAAAATCTGGAGCAGTTGCCCATGGCAACCAATCAGCTTCTCTCTTCAGTTTGTTCAGTGGAGATTTGAACATGAAAGGTGGATGCTGATTGGTTGCCATGCACAGCTGCTCCAGGTTTCATAAATTCCCCTCAGTGTGTGTTATTTGAATTCAAATTTGCCTGAATGAAACAGTATATATTCACAGGTAAACCCTGTCCAGTTTATTTAATTGTAGCCTCTTTAGTAAATGTTTCAGGTTTGTGTTATTTTTTTTTTCTTTTGTGCTTGGCAGATTTCTTTGTGAAGCACGGTGTTGCAGTAATGACGGTACGAGAGCTGTTTGAGTTTATCACAGATTCATCCATTACTCAGGATAACATGGATGCTTATTTAGAAAAGGTAATATGATCTTTCATTTATTAAATGTTACAATGTATTTGTATAAAGAGACCCTGTCACCAACTTAAAGTGACATTAAACCCTCAGATTTTTTAACATAAACCAATACTGTAATGTGTGCCTTACTGTAATCCATGGTAGTTTCCCTTCTCTTTGCTGCTTTTCCTTTTTAAATCCTCATGTCTTCTCATGCTTGGGGAGAACTTCCCTTTGCAGCCGAGTGCCTCTTCCTGTAGTGCTGGCTCAGGTTGCAAACCTATACACAGACACCATGTATCCATTCCTGAGACAAGGCAGTCTGCAGCAAAACAGAAGTTCTGCCCAGCATGAGAACAGATACAGATTTAAAAGGAAGAGCAGCAAAGAAGGGAAACAACCATGGATTACAGTAAGGAACACTCTGAGGGTTTAATGTTACTTTAAATCAATGCTGGTAAAGGAAACAAGTTAAATCAATTATTATACATGTTTAATGGCAGTGTTTTTTCCTTTCTGTAAATTATTTTTTATAGACTTGCATTGTGACTCTGAACTTGTTAGTAAATGTTACTACTTCAGGAAAGTAAATTCCTTATTACACACACCCCCTTTTCATCTGCGTGCCATAGCCCTCTACTCTTCTAGAAGTGTCCTAATTATTGTCTGTGCTGGCCAAGCTCTTCTGCCCCTCCCTTCTACTCTCTACATAACCTTTTTATGTAGCTGCCAGGCAAGAAGTGAAGGGAATACTACAGAGTGTCACATGAGTTTGCTGGGGCTTTTGACATCACATCCAAGATGGCAGCGCCCAGCAAGCATTCTCAGGGCTTTTGGATATCTACACCATCTACAAGAGAACCTTTCACAGATCAGAAAAATGCCTAAAATAAGTATAATGCACACTTTGAATGTCAAACTGAATGCTCTGGAGACCAGTTATATTTGGTACAATAAATATTTATGGGAACCTACTAGACAGCAGTGGGCCCAGTTGTATTGCTTACATAAATGTGTTCGTTTTTT